AGAATGGATCAAAACTGGAGTAAAATGTATGGCACGTTACCATGACAGCTGCTTCTATCGAGCTGTCATTCAAGATGTTGTCAAGCATAGTGATGGAGGTGTAGAAGTGGTAGTTGCATTCACTGGGTAAGTATTGCAAGGCAATAAATAATATATTTTCAGATGACTTGAATACATAGATCTCTCCCACACTAGCTTTGAACAGGAAACAATAGAGAGTTTAAGCAAAATGTTTATGGCAAACAGCTAACGGCAGAGCTAAACCAATGACCTAAGAATTTCGTGCCAGACCTTGTGCTTTTGGTAGTCATTTGAAAGAGCGACTTGTCACAATTATGGCAACCCCAAAATAACCAACTCTTGCATTGAAACATTTACGGTAAACCCCCAAAAAGGTGGTCACACAATCTTTTCTGCCGTTTGCCGTTTGCTGTGGACGTCATGCTTAAGTTCTCTAATGGCTTGAAAAAAACTCCACTGACAACTTGAAGCCATTGTTTTGTAATCATCTAAGCAATTGTAGGATAGGTCTGTTCAGCTCCAAAAAATTTGGAAATTGCTGATGGTTACGTGGCCAGATCTGGAAAAACTGGTACTCAAACCTGCTGCACCACATGCACTTCTAAGAAAACCTGAGAAAAATTAAGTTTATACAACACAATCCTAGTTGGTTTGAGTTACCTGAAGCTATGACCAGATTAGATTTGTCGTTTTTATGTACTTCAGTGTGTCCCGCGGGAGAAGGGAGGGGGGGGGGGGGTATAGCAGATACGATCAAAGGCAAAACTCCACCCTACCCCAGACAATGAGACTATACCCTATCCTAGACAAAAAACTACCCTATCTCCGACGTAACTACTAACCTATCCCAGACAAAACTACTACCTTATCCAAGACAAATGGGCAAGAAAATGATACCCTATCCAAGACTTCAAGCACCGGATGGTGTGTTCGCTTCACACCACATGGAATTTTTTTCAAATCATGTTTTTGTTTTTGTTTGCATGCATGTATGTAGTTTTGAATCAGAAGGTGATGAAGTTGTTGGATTACAAGATCTCAGAAGAATCGCACCGAAAGAATTACAACCAAGTGCAGCAACTTGTAGACCGAGTAGTCCTAGTGAGCAAAGTTGGTTTAGCCATTTACAGGGAAATGAGATGTACCAGGAATTAAGGTAAGATTTTCTTAACTAATTTTTATTAGCAAAATTATTAATGAATTTTAATTAAAGAAAAAAAATACGTCAGGTTCAAAAAGGTGCAATCATGGAAGGCAAATGTAAAATTCGTCAATGACAATATGGTTACAATGTCTATAAAGGCAAATACAATTCAAAATTCCACACACCCAAAACCCCCTTTGATCTTATCTTTGATGAATTCATCTTTTAAACCTGACAACATTTTTCAATTAGGTGTATAATGATATATTAGAGCTTCTTTCAAAAAGAGTATTAAAAAGTGGACTGTTGTGTTACAGGACTAAGTTTGCATATGATACTGATGAAGACTATGGCAATGTTTTAACTACAAGTGAAAAAATAAAAAATAATAAAAAGAAGTTGGTAGAAGATAAGAAAAACAAAGACAAGAAAAAGAAAGGTATATTTACAACCATATTTAAACATATACAATGTGTTCTAGTGACATTCAATTATTATAATTATAATTGTTGTATTAATTTGTCATATTTCCATAAAAACATGCTGGACTTAGGACTGCGACAAAATCAAATTGCTAGTCTAGTGTTAAAGGGCTTCTTGGACGAAAATTGCGAAACATTAGAAAAGACTTGGAAATCAAATAGACCTATCGATATGGGTCTAATAATCATGAAGCAACAGATTACAAAAAAAATATTCATGCAAATCCTTAATAATTTGGACAAAAAATGTTGGAGTAGACGACGTCATCTACTCAATCCTTTTGTTCTTCCATCTTTTGAATCAAAATTTCTCTGATGTGCGATAATTCCAAGACAAATATTTTCCCGCAATGGTTTTTAATAGATATAAATGAGTCATATATTTGTATTGCTTGAAGTTTTGAAATAAGGCCATTTTCATGCAAGTAGCACTTTAACAGTCCTACAATGATGTCATAGTGAAATAGGCAAACAGCAAAATAGTATTGAGATTGATTGAGGAAAAACGCTTATACATGAAAATTCATTAGAACAGGAAATTAGCACACCTTTTGGTGTTCATTAGCAGCCAATGAATATTCATTTATAAGCTAAGACACGTTTTCATTAGAGTCTCAAGAGAGCATGCGATAAAACATTCATTCATGCCAACAATAAACAAAACCGCTCATTCAATGTAGTGTTTTATTATAAAAGCTTCAATATGTGTGACCGGGTTGAAAAGTGATGGATTTTCTTGTACTAGTTATTTGCTGTAGGTTCGATATAAGTTGTTGGAGAAAGATAACACACAGAGAGAAAACACAACCAAACACGACTGAATCTGGAGCAGAACTGATTTACTTGCGCAAAGCGCGCGCTACAAACGTGATCGCTCACGCAATTTCCAAATGTGGGAATCATGACCTTGTCACAATGATAACTTGAAATCTTTAGCATGAAAGAGTGATATCTTTCGTATATAAAAATAACATGTTATCATGGATACAAAACATCCTCCCCTCTCTATTGTACACTACAGTCCTTGTTACACAGTAATAAAAGATGCTTCCTTACAGGTATTTTACAAGTTACAACACATAAAGGCAAAGAAACCAGTAAAAGGCAGGATCAACAAAGGAAAAAAAAGCTCAACTCTCCAGAGAACACAGATTCAGATAAAGGTGGAAGACATCAAAAGAAGCCTTTCTTGAAAACCAATGATGATGATGATGTTATCGATGATTATGATGATGATGATGACAAAGCAGAATTTTGTTGGGATGAGATTGAGGGTGAGTTAACCATATTTTAGAAAATAATTAGAAAGTTATTTGAAGTAATTAATTAAAAAAAACGCACAACTATCTTTTCAAGATGCCACATTAAAGCATGGTTACTGTTTTTAGGGTTTGATGACAAGGACATGGAAAAGCCTCACTTTASTGAACCAGCCACTGAACCATTTGTGCCTTTGGTGTTGTCTGACCCAGGACAGCACCCAATAATTCAGGTTAGTTGCAAAGTTAGAGACATAGTAGATCCCTTGCTTCATCTGAAAGAGAATGAAATGATACTGCATTCTGTGTCCCATGGCATTTAATAGAATTCTTATTAAAATATTTACTAGACTGATTCCATAAGTCGTAGTTTCCGTTCATCGGTTTGAATTCTCACTTCAACTAAAAGCGACCAGACAGACTGGTGGAATCAGTCTAAAGATTTACGAGATATTTTAAGTGATTATGCCAGCTGTGTTCACTGATGCTTGCTAAAGTGTCAAAAACACATTTTTTTCGGTCAGGTTCCAGCTACTATTAACTGCCGACTACGAGAGTATCAGCGTGAAGGTGTAAAGTTTCTTTACAAGCATTACYGTGGCAACAAGGGTGCTATATTAGGTGACGACATGGGACTGGGTAAGACAGTGCAGGTTATAGCCTTTCTTGCTGCCCTCTTGGGAAAATCAGGAACTAAAGCTGATGTGTTTGGAAAGTATATGGACATTGGAARACYAAATAAGGTAAAACATTGTACATGTAGGTRACAATCACCRTCTAAGAAAGACAGAAACGATTTAAGAATATGTTGATTTTTGGTCTTTTGTCAGTCCATCCACTTTCATTTATCCATTTAACCWTTTCCCATTCCCATTTTATTTCATTATTTCATTAATTGACTTGAATATTCAGTCATTTATTTGTTGTTTCATATGTRTTTCTTCATTCCCATTTCATTCATTCAAATATTTATTCATTCATTCATATGTGCCTAATTGCAATGAAGGGTTTATGCCAAAAAATTGAATACACATGAAATAATACCTTGTTATTCATTTATTAATCCATCTGGCCACCAATTCATTTCTGTCTCTCCATTCATTATTTTTTTTCGTCTAACCCTCCATCAATTCACTCCATTACTTGTCATTTTTTTTCATTTATCCGATCCCTCTTTCATCAGGGTTCTTGTTACACCTTGAAATCCTTGCAAAGTCCTGGAATTGAAAACTCGTTTTCAAGGGCGCTTGAAAGCCCTTGAAAATGTGGAACATCGCTGAAACTCCTGAAAAACTCCTTGAATCTGATAAAATTGACATGTTGCTTGTTTGATTTTGGATTGAAACATCCACAAACAAAATCGCATTTTTGCTTAAAAAGTACTTGAAAGGTCCTGGAATTATGTATTGAAAATGTTGCACAAACCCTGTTTTGTCCATCCAACCCTCTATTTWTCCGGTCCTTCTTTCATGCATTGACATCAAATCATTTCTTTCTTTCTTCAGAAGGGCAGCGATACACCAAAACAAGAAGGCTGCTTCCTCATAGTCTCCCCAGGCTCTGTCTTATACAATTGGCGTGATGAACTGGACACTTGGGGATATTTCAAAGTCAGGCTATACCATGGAAGTAGTAAGGAGGGTGTGTTAGAATACGCAGCTAAGGGGAAACTGGACATTGTGCTCACTACCTATGAAACACTGAAAATCAACCTGGTGAGCTATAAAACTAACATGCTATTTCGCAGTTAACTCCGTCATTCAAAATCAAGTATGAAAGCTTGGATTTGTGCAATTTTTATGTAATATAAAATATGAGCGAGAGACCTTTATGGTCATTTAAACTGCGAGCTGCAAGTGGACGCAAATGTTGCTTATCAAATTCTGACATAAGCTAAAGCTAAAAACTTCAAGAGAAAATATCATTTTTAAGAGAAAATCGAAGTTAAAGTCGTATGCAAATCAGGACCAATCTCTTGCTCATATAAAGATACGGTCACGGCAATGATGTACCGTTGCGTTTACCTTAGAGCAGATTTCGTATGAGTGGGAAACGGACGGTACTGTACGGTGACCGTAATCGTACTGTAACCAAATTCTAGTACCCCATTGGTTCACCAAAATTCTGCAGGCCAGGTCCGGTAACTGTGCGGTAACCGTGCGGTAACGGTGTCCCACTCATACGAAATCCGCTCTATGAATTATTAATGAATTTGATAACTAATCCTTTTGATCGTTTGAAAGGACAAGTTTAACAGAGTTCAGTGGCTTGCTGTTATAATGGACGAAGCACACAGACTTAAAGACTCAAAAGCACAAATAACCATGGCAGCAAAGGCTCTCAAAGTGAAACGAAGGTGACATTTTGAAAGAAATACTTTAAATAGAAACAAAATGGAAATGAATAGAAACAAAAATTCAGGTTGAACTCACATTTACACTCTAATAACTTTGGGGTTTTCGAGGCTGTAAAAAGTCTTCAAGACTTAAAGGGACCCCACAAGGACATAAATCTGTGGCACCTTGTAGCTAGTCTCCTCGCAGCCGTTCTTAGTGGCGGGCTTTCTGTGGGGCGGGGGACAGGGAGCCCGCCACTAAGAACGGCTGCGAGGAGACTACCTTGTAGCTAGTGTCCAAATAATCGTTCTAATCACTCAAAATAAATAATCGTTCCAATCACTCAAAAGCGCGTTTTTGTCCTAGTTTCCACAAGTGAATTGACCGCAATACGCATTTTAGGGCCRACTATATGGACACTAGCAGCTTGGTTTCAGAATTAAAGAATCACAACCRACCGCCGTACCTTGCGAGCCGAAGCGCCATTTTATGTAGACACGAAAATGGCGGATTCGTAGGTTTCTTATAAAGTGAGCGC